TTATATATATATATATATATTCTTAGTATCAAGCATAAGGTTGGTGATTTTATGAGGGGACTATCCTTTAATGAGTAGCAGAGGCTCTGCTTCACATCTACATGATGAAGAGGTGCTGTGCTCGCAGCTCTGCCGCATGTAACAAAGCTGGGCATTGTGGTGCTGTTCTAAAATAGGGGTCTGAAACAAGGGCAGCACCTGCTTCCTCCTCTGCACTTCTTCTCCTGTTACATTATATATAGAGAGCAATTGTTGTTCCTTCTGTCTGGTTAGTTTTCTGTACTTCATACAAGGGTGGCCAGGGCCTTAATCCTACTGGTTGTGCTCAGCTTGGTGGCGAGAGCACTTGGCATCACAATATTGCAGGCACTTTCTGACGAAAGGAAATCCATGCAGTGGTTATGTTTCGACGCCAGAAGGGTAACCAGAGGAGGCCAGGACTAATGACCATGCAGAGCGGGTACAATCCCTCTCTAGCAAGAAACAGCCCCAAGGGGTGTGGAGGCCACCCACTCTATACTTCAGTTCTGCCTGGGCACAAACTTTGCTCCCTTGGACGAAAACTTTTAGCAGTGAAGATGTAGCCAGGGACACTGATAGTTAAGATGTGCAGACTTGCCCTCTGAAGGTGTCCATCTCGGTTGGTTTTCACCAGAAACCCAGCACAACTAGGATAACCTAGTGGATAACCAAGTGGCCAAATATGTCTTGGGAAGATCTGAACAGTGTTTACGAATATTTGATAGAAGGATAAAAATAAGATGGAGCCAGACTCTTCCCTGTGATACTCAGTGACAGAATGAGAAGCACTGGGCAGAAAAAGAAGCAGGTTGAGGAGTCTTCCTCCTTGGAGATATTCAAAAGCCATCTGGACAAATCCTGAGCAATGTGCTCTTGCTGGCCGTGCTTGAGCAGGAGGTTTGGACCAAAGACCTCTAGAGGTCCCTTCCAAACCAGCTATTCTGTGATTTCATCCCTTTCGCAATACTTGTGAAAAGAGAAATTACTTTCAGAGACTGACATTTCTTCAGTTCTTTACCAGGAACTATCAGAAGACCCTCTAGGTAGCAGTTACCAGATACCTTTGGAGAGTGGTTGAAGAAAGGTAAAAAGGAAGTGAGCAATACAAGTTGGCTGAAAATTGTTGCTGTCCTTTGGGTAACATGCATCCTGCCAATAGCTCTCAGCAAAGCAGCCCTTCCTGGCTCTTGCTATATTCCTGCAGGTGCTCTGGCAGGTTACCTCTGAGCAGGAGCCTGGCAGTAGCTCATCTCGTTGTGACACTGATGGCTCATGCACCAGCCGTCTGCAAGGGCTGGGAGCAGCACGGTGGGAAGCCTCGCCGTGCTCGGCGTGATCCATTGCGCCTTGCTTCAGTGCACAACAGCCGCTCCTGCTGAGCTCCCGCTGGGGCTGCGGAACAGGCTGCTCGCTCAAAATGCAGCTATCTGGCTAAAAAATGTGACAGAGTGGCATTCGCTACACATCACTCACCTCTTAGCAAGGGGAACAGAACGTATAGCCCATAAGAAAAGCTTTCAGTTGGAGGCATTGTCCTAAGGCTACTCAAGGAGACCAGAACAAACAATGAAATTCTGAGCATCATTCTCCACGCTTCCTAAAAAATATTGTTCTGGCCACTTCCTTGTTAAACTTCACTATTTATGAGATTATATACTTTTTTGTGTGTGAATAATTCAACAGTTATATTAATTATAAAACATTAAACTCCCAAATGAGTTCAGATATTCTCTCTCAAATTCCCAAAGCAACCTGAAGAATTCCCTTGAGCATGTCTTAACATCTGCACCCCAGAAATTAACCCATCAATAGCTTAAAGGTTGTAGAAAATAATCTCACATGTAATATCTTTCGCTTAGAACGCTTTCAATCCATAATATAGAATTCCCTGACAAAGTTTATTTTTACTCTTCCTGACTTGTATTTCTGACTTGTATTAATTTCATTGCATCTTTCCCCCATGGCTTCTTTATTTCTGCTTTAGTTATCTCCTTTAAAATATTTTGTCTTTGAATCAATAGGCTGTCCATAAAACCAAAGGAAAAGGGTTACTAAATTATCCTCAGACTAAGTGAAGAAACAGTGAGCCATTATTGGGTAGTATTCCTTGTGATTCTTTTGGGGAAGATAATACTTCACCCTATATAAAATAGATTAATATTGAAATGCACTCAAAATAACAAGAGGGAACTCATCGCTGTACAGAAAATAGTACAGTAACCAAAGAAAAGGATTATGTTAAATTGCTCCGAAGAATCTATACCAACTTTTTAGTTAAGGAGACTGCAGTATTACACCCAAGTTTGGAGGCTCTGGAGAAAAGAGATAACGTCTTCAAAGTCCATTCCTTGAGTTAGAAGGATGGATGAGGAAAATTGTGCTTGTTTCGTTCTGAGATAGATCTGCCGAAAGATTTATACAGTCTGAGATGAAACAGAAGCAGCGTCTAATATTAAGGTGGCTTAATGTTTTTCTCTACAACAGTCTGTTTGGTAACTATACAGTGAATCTTTGCTTGGAGAGCTCTGTCATTACTAGGCCATAAGTGAGGTCACAAGAAAGATGTGGGGTGGGGGTGAGGATGTTATTCTGTTTTTAAAGAATTGCTGTCAGTTTAAAACCTGAGAGAATAAGAGAATATAATAAATACATAATACTTCATAGGCTCGTAAATTCCATTATTTTTTATTTTTTCCTGAGAAACACAACAGATAGACCTGATGCTCCAGCAAGAGCCTTGCCTCACTCCTGCAGTGAGTTATGCAAGATGCTTGTTGAAGGGCTGGGAAGGAAATTCCTTTTCTTAGCTAACTCATTCCTTGTGAAACCTGAAGAAATCTAAAGAATTGTACAGGCACTAATACCAGTTAGTGTGAGTCATAACAGCAACAGAACTCCTGTAGTCAGGCCCTGATTATTTCCACTATTATGTTGTCTGAATTAACTATGGGATGGACTCTCTGAAGCCTGGGAGGGGATTAAAGCTGGATTCCCAGAACTAAAAGGACCCTGAATTAAAAGGTGATTTGGCAATGGGGAGTCTTCAGCCTACATTATAGAGACAACATTTTTAGATCGTGGAATTTTTTGTTGAGATTTTTCTGACAAATTCCCAGTAACATTGAGTACAATAGCTTGGATTTATGAACATAGGAAAACTCCTGCTCGTTACTGTTTTATGCTATACAGCAATCCTGTTGCCGTTTTATAAATGGGTATAGGGATAGTCACAGATCACACTAAATGCAGTCCTGTAGGTTTTTGCATCTAGAACCTTATTTGCTTTTAGTTTCCAACAACATCTCTATCAGGAAGCATACAAAATCTCTTCTTTTTTACATGTTCAAACCAGTCATTATATTTTATGGTTAAATTTATTGAACTTTCTCATACAAATGATGGAAACAATAACAAAGAACACTAGTTCATGTTTCAAAGGTGACTCACAGTAGCTGGTAATTTATCATGGGATCTTTTGCAGGCCTATTTTTGGTTTGTTCTCAACACACAACCTTACTGAAGACTCCCAGGTGTTCTCGCTCAGAGCAATGTGATATTGTGGGGATTGCCCTGAAACAAGTGAACGTGCTCATTAAAAATGATTTCTGGTATGAAGCTGAGACAACTGGCAGTTAGAACTTCTCCTTGTTTTGACCCTTTCCCTCTTTTCAGAGATAGGATGTACTAAGGTGTTTCAGAGTAATGATAACTTCTTCTTAAGAAAAATGACTTCAGGCTACAGATAAATGACAATTTTTTGTTTTATGTTTTATTATATATACACACACATATATACACATACATATTTGATTTGCATAACTGATATTGCCCTATAATATTCAATTTGCTACTGCAACATTGGCATTTGTGAGTACACAAGAGAAATGGCAATCAGCTAATTGAATAAATAAAATGTAGCATATCTGTGGGTAGATTAAATTGTAATTAAAATGTGATTTCTCTTTTAGAACTATTCCACTTACTTAAATATGTTTCTTCAGATGATTGAACTTATGGTGCAGCATTATGCAAGAAAATGCAAGAAACTTTTGAGCCTGAAAGCCTTTTTAAAGGGAAGTGGGAAATGTTTTATATCACATCCTATTCCTTCAGGACACGCAACTTTTGAGGTACTCATCTTACCATCTTCATCATTATAATATCTTTTACATGAAGTAATGAGTGGCAAGGGGACTAATGTTTTTGCTGTAAAAATTCTCCCTTAGAGCCTACGGTATTTGCAAATTAAGTGATCTTGCTGCCACCAATATTTTTTTTAATTCTTGTCACTGCTTATCATCATTAAGAGTCTTTACAGAGACATCTCATCTCTGTCCTAAGGGTCTATTCCTAATGGTTATTATATTTGAAAAATAAACATTTTTATAAACCAGTGAAGTTCTTCTCCCTGAAGGTCTGTCTGTCACTCTCTTCACATAAACAAAACTTGTAGTGGTTTTACACCGAAATGTCCAAGCACGTTATGTATTGGTCAGAAATAAGAAATTTCTCTCTTTTTTTTTTTTTGTGCTGTTTCTAGATATGCTGAGACTCATCCTACAGCTCTTTTTGGAACAAAATGCAGGTTCTGGGAATGCATACTTCTATGACTTTTAACTTATGGCCATAAACAAAGCATAAAAACTAAATCGTTTTAAATATATCTTGGCTCTAAGTGTGATCACGGGCTAAGAATGGTGGGATGAGATGAAGCATCATGTGCTTGGCATCATTGTTCTGAGAGTGACAGGCAAAATCATTTGTGTTACTGTTCAAGTTTCACTAATCTTTGTTAAGCTTCAAAGTTGAGTTCCGCAGCTATTAATGAGGTTAGTTTGCGTCTCTTAGAAATCCTCTTGGTAAATTCCAGCTTACTCTGCTGCCTTTCAGCATCCGAAGGTGATCCTTGTAACTGTAGAGGAGAGAGGCTAATGAAAGCTAATTCATTAACTAATTCATGGAAGTTAATTATACAGGAGCTTAAAAGGAGTTGTGGAAGTACGTCTTGTGGTTACATTACTGCATTAACCATTGAGTTCTGACTTGTGTAAGCAGTCATAGGTCACTAGCCACAGGTCACTCAGAGGCAGCTGTTGGCAAAGAAAAAGGAAAGAAAAAATATATTATATTTTCCAATATCATTTTTAGAAGCTTTTAGGTTTTATAACCAAACTTTTCTACAAAATGTACAACTAAATGGATAACAACTGTTGTTTATTTATATAAATACTCAGCTTTTAGAGTTTCACTTTGAAAGTATTTTGCAAATGTTATCCAGTGAAAAAGTCAGTGAAAAGACTGAATAGCAGTCTTTTTCATGAACTGTACTTTACAGCATGAAATGCTGCTTTCACATAGAGCTGGAAAAACACTTGTGCATTGGATGGAACAAAAAACATGGAACTGGCATGGAACTGGCATGCTTCCACAAAAAGAAACAACTTGAGGTGTTACTAAATAACTACAGTGAAAATAATGCTGATTACCTGGCTGATTCTTGTCTTCTCAATGGTATCTGTGGCACTACTCACATAATCCAACTTTTTCCACAGTGTGGTAATAAGTGCACTGATGACTTCTGTCCATCACATATTTCAGCAACTAAGAAAGGTTTCCTTCATAGCATTTCAGAATGGAAATGCTGTTTGTTCTACTCTGATGAACTGAGTTTCCGCTCTAACAGTGCATGCCAATAAAAGACACACACAGTTAAAAGGAATGCAGGAGAAGTTCTCAAAGACTTTCCATTGCCAAAATCTACAAATCGCCACCCACATGACCCAGCATTTCAGTGAAGCTATAGACTGAACCAAATGCTTCCCCTCTGCACAAAGAAGAACATAAGTCCTTCTTACTTAAAGACATATTCCTGAAGGGACAAACTATGTCTTTTTAAGCTACAAAGAAAACTAAAACAAAAACAAAACCATATGGAGCCAAACAGTACGTAATCAGTGTCTCACTCCAACTATTACATCACTTCATGTTTTTATTTTGCAGATCTGCATGTGTACTAGGCAAAATTATTTGGCTTCTGATATTTAGGAAGTTAATATTCTCAAGAACTTAAATACAGAGGACATTCTCTGAATGTTCCTTCTTTTGCCTACACTCTACATGGTCTGTAGTGGAGTCCTCCTGTTTCAGCTTTCAACCAATTCCTTCAACAGGCACCAAAAACTACACATATAGAGGACTGTACAGGATACATAGATTATATGTACAGATACATAGATTCGACCCATATATATAAGAGGTAAATGTGCATTTACATCTTAATTTGTTGAGCAAAATGCACCTCTGATGGAATTTTTAAGTATGTTTAGGCACAGTGCAAGAAAATGAGCTTTAGGACTTACTGGGGCCTTTGGGTGAAATAAATGTCTAATAACTTGACATAAATTATGCAATTACAGGAGCTGACTAATCTTATTTTACTGGAAAAGTACTAACAACTGGGTTCAGTAGCTCATTGTATTAAGTATCCTTTCCAGTGATGAGTCAGAATTGAGACACAAATTATGATCTGCTCTCACAGAACAGAGAGGTGAATCACCTGCTCTCTCCAAGTCTTCATCCTCCCTCATGAATTAAAACATGTCATTGATTCCACATGGCCATAGCAGGATGTACTTGAACAACTTGAAGATAATTGAGCTACAATATGCAAAGAAATAATGTCTATGGGTTTTCTTTTGGAGCAGATGCAAAATTTACAAGGCACAACTATGAAAGGCTTGGGAAAACCTTCATCTACTTCACCTGCTTTAAATATTGGATATACCCTTTAAGGTCTCACCACCTTCAGATGCTTCTTGCACAGTTCCCACTGAAGCCTATTATAGCTCTATACACAGAATTGGACCTGGGGAATCTCACTTTACCTGGAGGAGGATAATGTTAGGTGGCTAGCTGAATTAAAAATAAATAAATAAATAAATAAATAAATAAATAAACAAAAGGGATGGAGCAGCCACACATCTGCTCTCCTAAAAGCCTGCTTACAATTGCCTCTGGGCACCCTGGGGGGCTCCACTCCTCTACTGTGTAAATATTTGTTATAGCTAACAGATACCTTTGCATAAAATTACCACAGCTGAAAGCATGTGAAAGAAAATAAATGAAATAAATAAACTGTGCAGTGCTTATGTTACTTTGATACAACTACTTTAAAGAAAACCATCCACAGCCTCTAGGGCTTACTGGACCAGACTGTCCCTCAGAGGTTCCTGCAAGGTCTCTTGCACAGATCTTTTAATTAATTTATTTATATAGGAAAATCTCACTGTTACCGTCTCCGCTCTCCTCCTCCGCTGCCCATTTGCTGAGCGTGGGTGCTGTGATGATGGAGGGACTGCCCCCAGGAGGGGCAGCCCAGCAGCTCCTCGACCAGGAGCCTGGCTAAGAGGGGCTGACGATATCCAGAGAGGTTTGGACTCCAGCAGGAAACAGGTCTTTGGTAGGTATCTGAAAACCTTTCATATTATTTCACTGTAGTCTCTTCACTACCTCATTTGTGGTCACTAAATAGAGATTTTTTAAAATACTTTTTTATCCAAGGAGTTCTGCTCTGAATAATGTTTTATTTTTTTTACCATAAAAAGAATGCATCCTTTTTTTGTTGTTTTCTAGAACGAGGCAGTCTCTCTGGCAGAGAAAATGATCTGTTTTGCCACAGATAGACTTCTTGTGCCCACGTCACTGCCTTTAAATGCATCTCAGATATCTCTATCTGGATATCTCTGCACTAACCTATAAGCTTTACCCCAGTATAGTGTTCCCCAGTATTCGTGCAGTGTTTAGCTGCCTGGAAAGGATGTCTTAGATTTAGCTTTGATCATCTCTTAAAAACCTCTTTCCTGACTGAGTCCGAGCAGTGCCACAAAGGCACTATTTACTTAATGCTAAGCATTGGAAGAGAAGGCTCTGGTGTTTGAGGGAACTGTTTCCTCAAACCTAACCACTAGTTAGGTTAAACCAGCAAGTGTTCTTGGGGAGCTTACAAAGAAAATGTTACACATCAGTCATTGACATTATTTATCTATTTATTTATTTTGCAGTAGTACCTGAATGCTCCTAACAGAAAATTGCAATCCAGTATGTCAGGCAATGTAGAAATATAGAACGAAGCTACTCTCTAAAAGCTCACAAGCAAAAATGACAGCAAGCTTCTGAAAATACTTTTCCTAATGTATTTACAACATCAACCATGTTTTAGGATATTTTATTCTTGAGTCATAAGGTTATGATCTGAGCTCCACAAACATCTCGTTTTTGCAATATTCACAAGTCCTACCTAGTAGTACCCACCATCAAAAACAAAGTTGTAAATGAAAGCAGGATTTTAAGTAAGCATAACTTTCTTTTCTTTCTTTTTCCCATTTCAAAGTCAGTCCTATGTTGTATTACTTTGTGCTGCTAAAAAAAAAATGGCAACTGATGGGGTAAAGAGAGCTCTTAAGAGTACCTAGGACAAATTGTATCATAAAACTAAAAGGCATTTTTCTTGTCTCTGGTAGAGCAATGCCTCCCTGAGCAAATTTAAATTATCTCTAGCAAGAATGATTTATCCCTGGGGCTCCCAAAAGTACCTCTGGAGCTCACACACTCCTTGCTGGAATGTCCCAAGTCACACCAGGTGTCAGACATTTTCAAAACTTTGGAATAAGCTCAAACTCTTGCTAATAATCAGTCTATTTTATGTCACTCTGTCTGTGACAAAATGGCCACAGAACAAAGATAAGCTGACATGAAAGGATCACCGACTTGTAGAGAGACCCTCCAATACCTGATACAGATCTTTGTTAACACACACAGACTCTCATTGCTCCAGATGAAGGAAAGGAAATGGCCAGAGCACCCTTACATGACTTCTTTGTATGGTCTCTTTAGCTCTGATGGCTCTTCAAAGGTGGGCAGTGTTAGCATAAGGTAGAGAGGCCTCTCTTGTTTATAGCCCAGCACATGGTAAGCCAGGGCAAGAGCCTTGCCACTCCTCAGCTGCACTTCAAAAATTGAGACCAACCCTTTCAAAAGCAGAGTGATATTCCTAAACAATTCTCTAACATATACTCTTCCTATACTCTTTTGCAAGGTATAAATACCTGTATCTTGTATACTTAGCCTGCTACTGCCAACTTGTATTGTTTCCTGGTAATTTTTCAGTCTTTGCTTTGGTAAGAAAAACCAAAAATATCCCAGTCCCTTTCTCTCTTTCTCTGAAAACATATACTCAGAAATAGAGTTACCCAGGTTTTAAGGTGAAAAAAATAGTCAGAATATTGGCAACATCTTAGTGCTGAAGAAGCAATAAAAGCAAAGTGGAGGCAAGGGAGTATTTTGTGCTAAACTGTTCACCCAGGATAGGTTTCCATCTAACTGTTTTACAAGTTATGGATTCTAAAGCTAGTCACAAGATTTAACAGCTGCTAAAAATTACCATGTTATCGCACACCATCATTCCAGTTATCAAAAGTGTTTTTTACAATAATTTCACTGCTCTAAAACATAAGACTCCTTTTTTCCTTACCTAGAAAAGAGACCAAAATACAACTAGCTTTTAATAAATATTGTTTGTAAAAGACTGGAGGTGATATAAAACTGAAATAATGACTTCTACCAAGAATTGTAATTTCCAGCCCCAACCACATATAGGGGCTGGATTTACATATACATATACATTTATACTAGGAAAAAAAAAAGCTTTAGCTATTTATAAACTTTAAAATGCATTACTTAAATGTATATGTGTATATATAAACTGAAAATGTATGAAACAAATTTTATTTGCGTGAGTCATTATGAATTTACAAAGAACAAAATGGTAGGGTGATATAGATTTTTTCCTTTTTAAAAGAAGCAAGGGCAGTTCTCAAGGTGATTGAGTTGCCTGCACATCTCCAATTTAACCTTGCATTCCTGAGACACTTAAACAAACTGCAGAACTGACTCAGATGAGCATGCACTAAATTTTGGCTGGTGCAGGAAGATACTAAGCCTATCCCAAGATTTAAATACTGTATCCAGAAAGTCAACGGGATGAATTTATTGTTTTTTTTAGCAGGAAGATGAGACTGCTCAGGCAGTATAACACAGACCAACAGTACAGTCTTTGTTGATGAGCTGAAGTTACAGCCAGGAATAAATCCTCTGTCTAATGTGACTACACTAGCAACACCCCAATGGGGAGAAGCAGTTGACTGGCAGTTTCAGGTTACTGACTCTTCTGCCTACTGAGATAAGAACTTGGCAGATTGGGAGAACCATTTCTGTAGGTGGAGAAAATACCACCACTCCATTGGCTATCATTACACCCAAATCTGAAAGCTTTTCTCATGGTCTGACCCATCATAAAAACAACACTATAACAATCTGATAGAATGGAGCCAATACAGAAGTACAAATCACATTTTACTGATGAAACTGCTTGGCCTGAGAGTTGGCTATACCATGACACAGGACATTCTGCTTGGAGTCTAGCTCCTTCTCCTCCTAGGAACAGTGAGAGTGTCTGCAATGGGCTGGAGGCACCCATGAGTGCTCAGGGAGCTGGCAGGCATCATTGCAAGGCCACTCTCAATCATCTCTGAAAGTTCAGGGCAAACAGGAGAGGTTGCTGAGGACTAGAAGACAGCATATGTCATCCTTGTCTTCATGAAGGGCAAGAAAGAGAATCCAAGAAATTTTAGGCCGGTCATAAACCTTGATCCTTTGGAGGTGAAGGATCAGCTAATCTTGTAAGTCATTTCCAAACATGTGAAGGACAGGAAAGTGATCAGGAGTAATCAGCATGGATTTGGGGAAAATAGGCTTGACCAACCTGACAGCCATCTGTGATGAGAAGACTGGCTTGGCAGATGAAGGGGAAATTGGTGGATGTTGTTTATGTTGACTTCAGTAAGGCTTTTGACACTGTCTCCCATAACATCTTCAGGGTCAAGATGATGAAGTATGGGCTAAGTAAGTGGACAGTGAGGTGGACTGAAAAACAACTGTACTGTTGGGATCAGAGGGTTGCAATCAGCAGCACAAAGTCCAACTGCAGGCAAATGAATAGTGGTATAACCCATACTGGGACCAATACTCTTTCATATCTTCATGAACAACTTGGATGATGGGGCCAAATGCACCCTCAGAAAAGTTGCCAACAGTACAAAACTGAGAGAAGTAGCTGGTACACCAGAAAGTTGCATGCCATTCAGAGGGACCTCAACAGAAGAGAAATGGGCAGAGAGGAACCTCGTGGAGGTCAACAAAGGGAAATGTCAAATCCTGCTCCTGGTGAGGAATGACCCTGCACACCAGGACAGGCTGGGCATCAACCAGCTGCAGGGCAGCTTGGCAGAGAAGGCCCTGAGGGTCTGGGTGGACAAGCAGTTGACCAAGGGCCCATGCAGCCCATGGGCATGCAGCCTCCTGGACTGCATTACGCATTGCATTGCCAGCAGGTGGAAGGAGGAGATCCCTCTCCTCTGCTTAGACCTGGTGAGGTCACATCTGGAGTGCTAGGTCCAGTCATGGCCTCCCCAATATTAGAGCGACACGGACATACTGGAGAGAGTCTAGTGAAAGGCTCAAACATGATGACGGAACAGCAACATCTGTCATATGAGAAGAGGCTGAGAGAGCTGGGACTGTGTAGCCTAGAAATGAGAAGGCCCAATGGAAATCTTATTAAGCTTTATAATTACCTGATGGGGAGGGGAGGGTATGTAAGGAAGACAGGGCCAGACTCTTATCAGTGGTGTCCAGTGATAGGTCACGAGGCCACAGATTCAACACAAGAAATTTCATCTAAACACTTTGTAACTGTGACGGTGGTTAAACGCTGCAGCAGGTTGTCCAGAAAGGTTGTGGAGTCTCCTTCCTTGGAGCCATTCAGAGCCCAGCGGGACTGAGTTTTGGATGACCTGCTCTAGCTGACCCTGCTCGAGCAGGGGACTCAGACCACATGATCTCCAGAGATCCCTTCCAACACTAACTAGCCTGTGATTCTGTAACATCGCAAATCTAAGTAAGATCTTAGGGAGGGATTTACTTCAGTCTACTTTGAAATCATACCTCACTGGTATGATTTTTAGTCCATGTTTTTCTACTCTTTTCACAATGACAATTTTCCTTCAGGTTTCACCATGTTCCTGCTCCCAAATTTATTCAAAGCTTACATCCCATTTCCTGATGCAAGATAAAACTTTAAGATGCTTATATTCCTTTGGAAGGATGAACATTTATTGTTAAATTAATGTGAGAGGAGAAGAATGTGTCTTACCTAAATATTTCTAATAAAGCAGACAAAAGGCTTTTGAACAGGAGAAAAACTTTCTCCAAGCAGTAAGAAGGAACTTTCTCCAGCAAAGGAACTTAATCCTCCAGGAATTAGGGAATATCACAAAGCTAACCAAGTACAAGGTGCTTTAATCTGCCTATGACTTCTCTAAGGAAAGCAAGTGCATAGCCTGTCCTTCTGATGGTGTATGCACTTCCCTTGGGAGGGAAGGAGAGAACAATAGCTGCTTATTGCATTTAAGGCAGCACAACAATGTGACAGGAAGACATATAGCATATTCTGGTATGGATATTTTCTGGATGAAACGTCGATAATGTGAATTAATTGTGGCTCCAACAAAAGGAATGTCTGACCAGACCTAAATAAGCTGAAACTGCTGAAAAAATCTAAATTTCTGAAATCTTTAATGTTGAACCTGAAACTTCTGAATTTTTATGTTGTCATTTGATTCTTCACTGAGTGCAAAAAGGACAGTCATTACCAGGAGATTTCGGGTTTTATCACATTTCTGCCTTAAACTGTTTGTTCTGTCAAAGATCTTCCCTTTCCTATTCCTTCCCTTCATATAACAGAATGAAATGTGAGCTTGGGAGGGTCCAGGCATTGATTTGTCTCCTTGTACTGAAGACTACCTCTGGCAGCTTCACTGTTCAGACTGTACAAATAATACAGAAAAATATGAGAGGACAAGATATTTCTATTATCCAAATTTCTGGAAATCTCACCAGTAATGTCATCAATATCTATTACTATTTGTGAGAGATGATTTTTTTTGGTCTATCAATTCCATTTATACCAACCGGTTGTTGCTTGCTCCTATTTTCTTTCTAAACCCCTGAAGAAAGAGTTTTCTGTGAACTGTTATAGAATTCATATAGCAACATACCTTGAATTGCTGCGGCGGAGCAGGGGCTTCACACTCATATCCAAAGGGAGTATCAACAGCAAAATGATAAGGACACTTTGTGTAGCTCTCTCAAGTGACTAACGTTCAGACTTGAGTCTGCTCCCGGCATTTAAAACACGAATTCCAGCTAGTGGAAGTACTAGCAGCACCTACTGTTAGCGGCTGCACCGCAGCACTCTGTGTGTGTTCGTTTGAAATAGGTCAGATCAATTCATTTTGTTCAGTCTCATTTATCAAATCCTATTTGCTATCTCTGTGATTTTGATAAGGGAAAAAATTGCTAAAACTACAAAATCTAGAGAGCTTTATTAAGAACAACAGTAACCCCTACTGGATTGCGACTGTCTCCCTGGAAACCTATGATATAAAACACCTTGTACTGCTTTGTGGAAAAGGCATAGTCCGCATAACTATTATGCAGAACCAGTCATTTCTCTGTTTGCCATAAATTTCAGTGTCATCATTTCTTGTATTAAATTG